GGGGGGGGTGGGCCCCCCCCCCCCCCCCCAGCAAGAGACAGGTTCCCTGCTCTAACCACTCTCTCCCTCTCCCTCTCAGTGCTGGGACTAGAACTCAGGAGTCCTGTCTGCCTAGTATGCTGCTCTGCTCTCTCCGTCCCCTCCCTTCCCCCTTGTTTATTTTTACTGCTCACAGAACTCTCTAATCCCCGTCAGGCTTAATTCTCCTTCTGCCCTGGCCTCTGGGGAAGCTCATTCCAAGAGGGAAGGACGCACAGGTGGGGTGGGGGCGGAGATGGTGAACCCTGCAAGAGGCTTACCCAGCACAGGTGTCCATGGCTGCGCTGCGGGCGCAAGGTTAGAAGGGGGCTGGTTGATGAAATGAACGTAGCCGGAGATGGGGCACGAGTCAGCGACCGTAAGGCCAGAAGAGAAGCCTAATGCAGTGTGTCTCAACCTCTTCTTAGAAAGTACCCTTTTTAAAAAAAATATAAGTACCCCCGGAACCTACAGTTTTCAGACACACACAAGGTTTTTCTACTGTTGCATCACATTTGTTTAAACAACTTCATCATAGCCGGGCGGGCGATGACATTTTTGGGTGTAAAAAGAACAAAAATAATAAAACGCTGTAAAACGCAAAACAAATTCAGTTTTCTCCAAATTTCAGTTGTGTTGATGTTCCCCAGCACAGCCCAGTGGGTACAGCATTGGCCTGGGACCGAGGAGACGCTGGCCTGCTTGGCAAAAGGCTTTGAGAATGGCTGACCCACTAGGCTTTACTGCCCTCGTCCTTAGCCCAGGAAGTGCCTGGAGCCAGGCAGGGCTCAGCAGGCAAAGTCCCGAACTGGCTTTGCGGCAGATCCAGCCGGTCCTCTCCCAGTGGGATCAGAGCTGGGGGCTGCGGGCGAGTCGCCGTTGCCTTGTGCTCCAGCCGGAAGGGACCTCCTGCCATCTGCGGTGCTGGGAGCTTGGCAGGGGGATTAGGACTGAGGCATCTGAGACAGGCTGGGTGGGCCAGGAGCCGGCAGCTCCCGTGGGCATCGCTTCGGGCCTCTTTGAAAAACCTGGCCCAGATAAACAGCTCGGGTCGGGGTGCCCAA